GCTGTCTATATCTTCATCTACCTCACAACTCAAGTTTCCCCATCTTCCCTCTCTCATCCAGTTACCTTCAGTGATCTTGTAATTTTTTATTATTATTTTTTTTAATTACCAGGAGCTTTTTGGCACTTACATGATCCCCAAAATACTTCTTACATTACGTTTGAACTTTTATGAGTATTTTATGTTTTGGATGCAGTCTCAGTGGTAAAGAAGATGTATGCCCCTGGCTGCTTACTGACGTGATCTTGCTTCTGCTAACCTGTTTTGCTTGCTAGTCTACTCTGAGAAGCCCTACATTGCTTTCCACTTCTTATCTTTACAAATCTCTGTATTATTGCTTCCTAGGTTTCTCTTCTGTGGCTGAACCTATTCGCATTTCCTCCTGCACCTGTAGTTTCCAAGTGTCTCATATTTACTTCTTTCCCCTGTATTGCCTGCAAAGTACATGCCGATACATCTTTTGTCTGTGTACTTTTCACATCACTGCCCAATTCAATATCATCTGCAAGTTTGTTTCATATCTTAGCAGTCCTCCATGATCACCAGCATCAATATGAATGAAAACTGTATTGTTTGATAGCTTGTAGGGCGAAGAATTTCCATGTGATACACTTCAATATTTGTCTTTGTTCACAGCCTTTAAGTTAGTTTTCAGTCAATGAACAATTACTGCATATAAAACAGCATAGACTGGCTTATGCATGACCTAGGGCAACATTAACAAGCATGATGAGATACTAATTGTCTCAACACCTTATAGTCTGGACACAACGAATCTTACTGATATGTTCATGCGTATCTCTGACCTAGCTGGTCTAAAGTACTCTTCATTGACAGTGCAGGAGACAGGCGCCTCTGGGGCAAAATTAATATGATTTATTTTAGATGTCAAGGTGCTATCAAGGACCTTTTCCTCCATTCTCCTAGGTCAGAAGCTTTTGGAGCTTTGTGGAAAAATAATCTAACTGGCTTTTCCAGGAGCACTGTGAGAAGAAATGAAAACGAGGTGTGATTCACCTGACCAAACATGTTCACTGGTACAGTTACCCATACCCGAGATAAATAGACAGGTATCACAGGCTCCTTTGCTGCCCGTAGATGAAAGTATGCACTTCAAGGAAGCAACACGTCTACTCATCCCAGAGCAGACATTCAAAAATTTATCCTACAAGTCATGTCCTAGAAGTTCCTGTGTCCTTGTTGACTGTAGGGGAAGCCTGAGTGGCACCAGCAAGCAGATGTAAAATGGCCATCAGACCTGGTCTCTTCCAGATCTGATGCTTAACCTTTAAAACTTTTAGGTCTTAAATATCCAGTCTAATGTAGTTAAGGAAGAAGTCAGGGTATCTGGCATGATTTCAGCTTTGGCAAATGTGACTGGTGCAACCATACATTCAAAATCACAACTGAAGATACTTCTGTATAGGCCACTCTAATTCTAATACCTTTGCTGGATTTTCAGAAGTCACGTTTGGATTATAACTGTGAAAATAGAAAAATGCAAAATAATTCTGCCTGTGTGGAGAAAAGTTGTTTTATAGTAGAGCATTCAAAGGTATGCTTTATGAATGTTTTATAGTTGAATGGCAATGTTCATTAGACAAAATAAGCATTGTGAATCACAGAATCATAGAATGGTTTGGAAGGGACCCATAGAATATTCTTTAAAAAATATTTTTAAATATATTATTCCAAAGAAACTATTTGGCTGTCAGAGA